TATATTTCAACAGTTTTGATTTGTTACAATCTTGCCATTCCCATCATGATGAAATCTATTCACAATCCACTGGCTGACACAGGTTCTTCATGATTAGGGTTCTGAGAATAGCAGTTCAGTTGGAGTGATCTCCAAAGAAACTTCATCAGAGATGATCCCACCCTGATTCTTGCGTGAGTTTGCTAGTACAGTGTCCGGCACAGTCCTTCACCGTAATCAGCTTATGCACATGCTGGTCGTTGCAATTGCTGGGTCATTTCTGTTTCCAGCCCTGTCTTCCACTTGAACCAATGGGTGTTACAGTCCAACTTTATCCAACCCACTTCATACTTGGTCCTGATGCTAACCAGTGGAAGCTGCAGCCTAGTTGGGGCAACTCCCCATAAACCCCAACAGACCTGCTCCCTACCCTGGTTCCCATGCAGGACAGTATGTACCACAGGCTTATTCAGTCTGTCCCACATCGCATTTAGCTCTGGTATTTGTCATTGGGCATGAAGCCTAGTTCAACCCAACCTACTATCCAGCCCATACACATACTGTGCTCTCCAGTGGGAGTGGTTTCACATGAGGGTGGTGCCCACTATCTCCTTACTAGGCCACTCCAACTTCCGGATTATGCACTCTCCAGGTGGTTCTGGCATTTAACTTAACAAAATTAGCCCCTAGTGCCAGCCTCTGCCAGCTGATGATGTGTCAAAGGCCAACCAACCCTCACCCACTGTAATTTTTGCTTGCACCAGTCAGAACAGTCAGCCCAATCTGGCCCTTCCCTAATCTAGCTCACATGAGGCCCACAGGTGTTGCAGCCCTGCCTGTTCTGGTCTGCTCCCATCCCAACCCATGCTCTCCAGTGGGAGTGGTTGTCCAGCAGGGGAGACCACATTCTCCTGCCAGCTTTGCCTCCTCATCCCCAGTTCTCATGTGTATTGTTTGGGCACTGCAACCACATCTGGTATGGCTCACCTCACCTTGGCATTGCTTAATGTGACCTGGCATGTGTTGCAACCAAATTTGGCCTGGTCCACACTCTATGTTGGTGTTTGGATTCACCAGTGGGTAATGTGAATGGGTTCAACCTGGTCTGCCCCCAAACTATGCGATACGTATGATGGTGGTCATCTTTCTTTGTCCCGTTTTGGGTTGCTCCTTATCATAGTTCTGTGCTCAACTGCAGGGACTGTGTACTAACAAAGGGGTTTCCCAAGCTCCTTCTTCAGAACCTCTCTCTGTGACAGATATTGTACATACTGGTAGTTCCATGGGCCAGCCCTCATTGCTGGCCTTGAATCCATTCCATTTCTTGGTGTTGGATGTTTCATACACTTCCAAGGTTTGTCCATACCCACACACTGCTCACAGATGGCTCAGTAGGGTCAGAGACCTAGCCTAGTCTTTCCTACATCTACCCAGGTTCTCCAGAGCACCAAATGGTGTTGGCATCTAGCCCTGTTTGGTGTGCCCAGCCCTAGTCCAGACTGGTTTCATATCCAGACTTAATGCAGCCCCTACTCTAGCCCTTGCTCCCTCCCATGGGAATCATAGCCAAGCAAGGGTGTACTCTCAGAGCTCCTCCACTGAATCTATTCCCAGCCCTAGATTGCAGGTGTGCCAGTGGGTGCTTTGACCCAGTTGGCTTAGCCCCTCAACTGTTTCAGCCTTTGCCTTCGATGCTGTGATATGGTATCCCTGCCTTATGCAGACAAGTTGGTGTAAGAGCCTAGGTCAGAATAACATGTGTTCCATCCTGATTTTTGTTCTTTTTTGTGAGTTAAGGTTTGCATGGCCCCACCCAGTCGGCCTCATTCCAGTTGCGGCTCAGCTGACCCCACATCCCAGTGTAGGATGCACCTTCGGGTGGTGCTGCCTTGACCTGCCCAGATTGCCATCGGTTCCTTTACCTATAAGTGATGGCAGGTGGCTTGGTCACTCCTAACTTAGCCCATTGCCACCCCAGCTCAGGAGCTAACCTGCTGGACTTGTAGTTCCACAGGGTTGTGTCCTTACTTCCCCTACAGAGTCTATCCCCTGGACCAAGTCCTCTCGCACACTGGTTAGTGTCTTGACCCTGACAAATGTGACCAGTCCACTATCCCACCACCCAGATGGGTAATGGTACCTATCCCTGCTAAACAGGTCCCCATCCATAGCTTTGGTGTGGACTGGTGTGTGGCAGTCAGTGATGCTCTATGCTAACAGCCCATCTCAGGATCAATCTGGCCCGAATTGATCTTTTGGACTCTCCCCTCCAAACCACCAGGTCTCAGTCCCCATGCTTGCCAGAAAGTTTCATGACCCTGTTACTGGGAATCACCCATATTTCATCTCTCACTTACACTAACGCTGGCCTTATTCATGGGTATCCCTAGACAGCAATTACATATCCCCAAATCCCCAGAGTTTGCTGCCTCAGGCCAGCAGGCAGAGCCTGGCACTACTTGGTGCACTAGTTTCCCAAAGCCAAGAACTTAGTCACTGCCTTCTACCAGTGGCTTTGGCCTGAGTCCCCAATACTGTTTACAGTCCAGTGGGGACAGCCCCCACAGCTGCCACACTGCGGGGAGCTGCAGTTACCCCCAGTCTCAAAGCCTGAACCCCTCTCAAACACTTCCTCCCTCAATAACAGGAATACAATATTAAAATTGAAACTTTTACTGGAGTATTGCATAGCAGACTGTCAAAAAATAAATCAAGTATTTTGGCTTTTCATATAATAATTTTATTTATTATGTATCTTTTTTTTACACCTCAGACTAATTTGAAATTTAAAATTGAGAGGTACACCACTGCTATTCAACATAGTCCTAGAGGTACTTGCAGAGGCCATAAGACAAGAAAAAGAAATCAAAGGCATACGTATAGGAAACGAAGAAGTCAAGCTTTCACTATATGCAGATGACATAATCCTATACATAGAAAAACCAGGAGACTCAATACAGAAACTGCTAGAACTTATACGAGAGTTTGGCAGAGTGGCGGGGTACAAAATTAACGAACGAAAATCAACAGCCATAGTGTACGCAAATAACACCAAGATGGAAGAAAATCTAACCAACAGGATACCATTCAAAATAGCTGAGAGAAGTATGAAGTATTTGGGAATAAATCTAACCAAAAGCGTAGGAGACCTATTCGAAGAAAACTACAAACTATTTAAAAAGGAAATTGAACAAAACCTCAAAAGATGGAACAACATCCCGTGCTCCTGGATAGGCAAAATCAATATCATTAAAATGTCTATACTGCCACAAGCAATATACATTTTCAATGCAATTCCAATCAAATTGCCCAAAACATTCTTCACGGAACTGGATACAATGATTCAAAAGTTCATCTGGAAACACAAAAAACCACGAATAGCTAGAACCATCCTGAAAAATAAGAAGTTAGCAGGGGGAATCACAATCCCGGACCTCTGGACATACTATAGAGCAGTGGTTATCAAAGCAGCCTGGTACTGGCACAAAGACAGAAAGGAAGATCAATGGAATAGAATAGAAGCTCCAAAAGGGAACCCACACAAATACAACCAATTAATCTTTGACAAAAAGACCAATGACAACTCAAGCAAGTGGGAAGGCCTCTTTAGTAAATGTTGTTGGGACAACTGGCTGATAGCCTGTAGAAACAAAAAGATAGACCCACATCTATCACCATACACCAAGATCCAATCTACATGGATAAAAGACCTAAACCTACATCCAGAAACCTTCAAACTCTTGCAAGAAAATGTAGGAAATACCCTGCAAGACCTAGGAGTAGGTCCCAATTTCTAAGAAGGACACCAAAAGCAATAGCAGTTGAGAACAGAATAAACAAATGGGACCTCATCAAACTAAGAAGCTTCTGTACAGCAAGGGAAACAATCAACAAAGTAAAAAAGCAACCCACAGAGTGGGAGAAGATCTTTGCACACGATATAGGCGATAGGGGGCTAATTTCCAGGATATACAAAGAACTTCAAAACAACCAAAAAACCAAAACGAACAAGCCACTCAAGAAATGGGCACGGGAAATGGGCAAACATTTCACAAAGGAACAAATCCAAATGGCAAACAAACATATGAAAAAATGTTCCAGCTCCCTAGCAATAAGGGAAATCCAAATTAAAACATCGATGAGGTACCACCTAACACCAGCAAGATTGGCCCACATAAACAAGAACACCAACGACGCCTGCTGGCGAGGATGCGTGGGAAAGGGAACCCTACTCCACTGCTGGTGGAGCTGCAAATTGGTACAGCCTCTATGGAAATCAGTCTGGAGAACACTCAAACAACTCAAAATCTGCATACCATATGACCCAGCAATAGCACTCCTAGGAATATATCCAAAACACCTGTTTTACGACAAACCAACATGCATCCCTATGTTCATTGCAGCACAATCAGTAATTGCAAAAACATGGAAGCAACCAAAATGCCCATCAGCAGAAGATTGGATAAGAAAGCTTTGGTTCATCTACTCCATGGAATACTACTCAGCTATTAAAAAAAACAAAATGCAGTTCTTTGTGGCTAAATGGGCACAACTGGAAACTATAATGCTAAGGGAAATGAGTGAATCCCAAAAGATTAGATACCACATGTTTGCCTTGATTTAACGTGTAAAAAAAAAAAAATAAAATAAAATTGAGAGGTAATAAAAGAGTCCAATTTTTTCTCCACAATGCATTTCCTGTGTTACATTTCATATTAACATTTTTATTATAGTTATTAAATCCCTTTAAGTTCCTTAATTTGAATCCTAAAAACCCATTATCCCAGACATGCTCTCTCCCACCAGTAATCAACTTTCATATTGACATTGTTCTCTTGAAATCTTGAATTAGGAAGGAAAAAGAACCTGGAGAAATAAATAGAACCCTATATGCACAGTCATTTAATAGCCCTTACAACAGAAAGCCAAAAAGAGGCAATAATCAGTCAAAAAATCTGGAGATGAAAGAAAATCATGAGAGTCTCATATGTAGATTGGTGAACAAAGTGAGATTCTCCTGTCTACATGCTTTGCGTTGCTGGGTTGTCCAATCTGCGGTTCACGTGGAGGACACAGAGACTAAATGATACTGCTTTGCTGAGGACCCTGCACATGGCCCTCTTGATGTCCCTGTTCCTCAGGCTGTAGATAAAGGGGTTGAGCATGGGAGTAACCACTGCATATGTCACTGAGACCACTGCACCCTTCCTAGTAGATATTGAGAAAGCTGAGTTCAGATACACCCCAAAGACTGTTCCATAAAATAAGCAAACCACTGTGAGATGAGAGCCACAGGTGGAAAAGGCTTTATGCCTCCCCTCTGGAGATGGGACCCTCAGAATGGAAGAGACAATTTTATAGTAGGAGTAAAGAATCCCTGAGAAAGGAATGAAGCCATATACAAACCCAACAAAATAAATCAGCATGTCATTCGTGAAGGTGGTTATGCAGGTGAGGTTGAGAAGCTGAGAAGGGTCACAAAAGAAGCTAGAAATTTCCAAAGTTTTGAAGCAGGTAACTTCTAAAACCATTAAAAATTGTAGTAGGGAATCCAAAAGGCTTGCTAAAAAAGACACTGCAACTAGGAAACCACAGCAATGAGGGTTCATGATGACCTGGTAATGCAGGGGGTGGCAGATGGCAACAAACCGGTCATATGCCATTACTGTAAGCATCAAATCATCCATGCATCCAAAGATGATGGAGAAAGACATCTGAGTCAGGCAACCTGCATAGGAGATGACTGTGCTGTGGGTGAGGATGGCAATGATCAACTTGGGAACTGTGGTAGAGGTGAGACCCACATCAGCCAAGGACAGGCTGCAGAGGAAGAAGTACATGGGTGTGTGCAGTTGGGAGTCTGAGGTGACAGCCAAGATGATGAGCATGTTCCCAAGCACTGAGACCAGGTACATGGAGAGGAACAATCCCAGGAGTACAGGCTGCAGCTCTGGATCCTTGGAGAAGCCCATAAGTTGGAATTCTAGGACACGTGTGAAATTTTGGCTTTCAATATAACCTGAATTGCTTTTTGGAAAGAAAGCAGTGTTGGCTAAATAAAATAGATAAGAAATTAAATAGCATTACATACATAGTTAGCTCATCTTTCCATGTTTTTAACACAAAGATATCACTAAGCTTTCTGATAGAAATGCTATAAAATGGAAAAGAAGGTTAGAGACGTTTTTGTGGGGATGGAATTTTGAAAGTCACAATTGTTATATGATGCATATTTTGCCCCTAAATTGATTCACCTGAGAGAAGCTTCATTTAATTCATTCTTTTTTTAATGATAGTTTGGCATTGTGCCTTCTTTCCTGTCACAATAAAGTATTTTTATATTTTCGATTTTATTATTTTATTTTATAACATAGTTCAATGGGCTCATATATTTTCCTTTACTCCTACCCCACCCATTGATTTCCTCTATATTATTACAGTAGTACAGTTCACAAACAGTAATAATTCCATCATTGTGGGCCTGGGCCATGCAGAAAGTCCACACTTTATTGTCAAGATAAATTTAAAAATTGCATTGGGAGTCCATCTTTGATCTGAAAGTAGAGATAGCGCAATATCATCCCCTCAAATGAAAAGCCACAATGCAACATCAACAACAGTAAATAAAATGGGATTTACAACATCAAGAAGTTAACTAACACGGTACTGAATGACGAATGTGTAGAAAATGCAAGTTCTTAACTACATCCTGTAACTACATTATTGACATCTCAATTTTAGTTTATACATAACCAACTGTTGTAAACCTTAAAACGACTGTAGAGTACTATTCAACTGTCTCATGTCTTTTTTTCCCATATATATATTTAGCTATTTATAGTATTCAAGCAAGATTTTACTGAACTTTGTGAATTTTAGGTTATTCCAAACAGGGTTATAACTCAAATAAGCCATATATTAAGGCTTAAGGAGCAGAACAGTTTTAGGAGGAGTGCGCTGAGAAATCTTCCATATATTAGTTAGTGAGGAGTAACTGATCTTTGCGTCCTACGTAGTGAGGTACATGAAAGTCCAAAATGACTTTTCCTTGACAATAAGACAATTCTATAAGATATGTGTATAAAATATAGTTGAGGTGTAGAATTTGATACTTGTGCCAATTTACTTATTAAGTCATTAACATTTTCTGCCCTAATCTAAAAAATCATTATCAGCCACATGCTTTTAAAATATACATTCAGAGCCTGGTGTGGTAGACTAAGGGCTAAAGCCCTTGCCTTGCATCCACCGGGATTCCACATGGGGTGCTGGTTGTAATCCAGCCAGCTCTGCTTCCCATTCAGCTCCCAGTTTGTGGCCTGGGAAAGCAGTCAAGGACGGCCCAAAGCCTTGGAACCCTGTACCCAGGTGGGAGACACTGAAGAGGCTCCTGGCTCCTGGCTTCAGATTGACTTAGGCCTGGCAATTTTAGCCCCATGAGGAGTGAATGAATGGATGAAAATCTTCCTCTCTGTCTCTCTTTCTCTCTATGTATCTGAATTTGCTATAAAAAAAATCTTTAAAAATAGATATACATTCAAGTAAAACACTGACATATCTAGAAACGACAGCTCAGGATAAATGACTAAATATGTCATTAATATGGGATATTTCCATTTGTCTCTGGCAGATAGCAACTGCCTGAGAAGCAAGTATGGATTTCAGCACTTTTGTTGAGGTCATTCACTCACGATTGAACCAGCATGTGAGAGTCACTGCACCTCCCTGTGGTTGTATTCTATACCGGATGTAGAATGAATAAAGACAAATGTAAAACAAATGCAGCATTATTTGTTTAATGGTCTAAGACAAATACAGCATCAAGATGAGGCTTAGATCAGAAATATCTTGCTAATGAGGAGGGTTTTTTTTTTTTAATTGGTGTTTAATACAGAATCCGTCATGTTGGAGCAATCACAAACAACCGTAATGCTGTAGAGGCCCAGAGGACCTGCAATGCAGACAGGAAACCACCAAGTGTGGGAACATCACATGTTATTGGACAAATATTGGGGTTCAACGAAGTTGCCCTTCTATAATTAACAACCTGGAGAGAGGACTGCTTCAGTGTGCTGCAAGGTACAGGATCTAAGAGTCATTCTCCAAACAGGTATCATATTCTTATACAAGGGTATATTATGCATCAAAGGAATTTTGAAAACATGTAATATTCTTGAATCCTTTCAGTATAAATATTCTTTAATGCAAAGTTGTTTTTTTCCCATACTATGTGAAAAGTATATATTTTGAAACGGTTATGTATGCATTTTCAAAGGCTATTTGCCACCAAAATGAGCAAATAATTCATTCCACTTTTTATGAGCATTTAAAGTCTCATATAAGGACAGAAGCCAAAGATCTTGTTATAACAAATAGGAGGATCCGGAGGAGGCCCCGTCGCTTCCTTCGCAGCCCATGGGGCTGTCCCTGTGAGCTCCTGATGGAGTTTGAGGCCCTGAAGCCGTCGCTGAGCCGCACCTCTGCGGGGCTTCCCGGAGCAGCGCTTAGCGGACCCCGCCCGGGCCCCCTCAGCTTACAAAACACTACACAACAAAATAATGATCTGCTACACTGCTAACCTGAGCATCCAGCTTCCACAGTGCCTATGCAAGCAGCTCAATGGACAGAGTTTCTGTCCTGTCCAATCTGCTATAATGAATTTGATGAGAATGTGCACAAACCCATCAGTTTAGGTTGTTCACACACTGTTTGCAAGACCTGCCTGAATAAACTTCACCGAAAAGCTTGTCCGTTTGACCAGACTGCCATTAACACAGGCATTGATGTGCTTCCTGTCAACTTTGCACTTCTCCAGTTAGTTGGAGCCCAGGTACCAGATCATCAGTCGATAAAGTTAAGTAATTTAGGTGAGAATAAACACTATGAGGTTGCAAAGAAATGTGTTGAGGATTTGCCACTCTACTTAAAACCATTAAGTGGAGGGAAAGGTATAGCTAGTTTGAACCAGAGCGCACTGAGCCGTCCAATGCAAAGGAAACTGGGAACACTTGTAAACTGCCAACTGGCGGAGGGAGAAGGCCGTGTCAGAGCCATGCGAGCCACCCATTCACTTGGAGAAAGAACTGTAACAGAGCTGATATTACAGCATCAGAACCCTCAGCAGCAGTCTGCCAATCTGTGGGCTGCTGTCAGGGCTCAAGGATGCCAGTTTCTAGGGCCAGGTAAGGCAGAGCACTCTCTTCCCTTCCTTATTTGCTGGTAGGGCTTGAGAGTGCCAACTTACAGAGATAGGCAAGGATTCTGAGACTCAACCCATCTTGATATTTGACTCTTGAAATAAAATGGGTTTTGTTAGTCATTATCTGTATAATAGGCAGTTCTTTGTATTAAAATGCTCCTTTTAAATGTGAGGTTAGATTTCACAGCTACAGTTTGTAAATTAGAAATCTGAGTTAGAACAGACCTAAGATTGCACAGGTTGTAACGAAAGGAAAAATAGACTTTTTTCAGTCTGAAAAAATGGGAAAAGGTTGTGGTTGGTTTTAAGCTTGGGAAGCATGGAAATTATTAAAAGTAGCAGTGGGATAATTCCTTTATAAGTAGTGCTTTCGATATTTTGTTTAAGAAAAATTGTTACATCAAATTGTTATGAAGTACCCTTAAATTTTCTTCCAGAAGCTTTATTTTATCTTTATTTTATGGTTCTAATTCAGAACTATGGTATTGATAAAAATTTATTTTTGTGTCGTTGAGACAACTGGGTATATGTGTGGATGAAGAGAAAATTAAATTTTAAAAAGGTCAGAAATAGTTATGATTTAAAAAAAAAGTTTCATGAGTAACAAAGCAAAAAAGTGAGTTTCTATATCCTGGGGTTAGGGGTAACTTTTCTAACTTTGGTTGGAAGACCAGAAAAGTCAAGGGAAAACATTAATATCTGAATATATAATTTTTGTTTAGTTTACTTTATAAAATTTAAAGTAAAAAGTTGACAAACATGGAAATTTTAGCAAATTTTATCTGATACAGAGCTTATGTAATGGATGTTTCTAAAGTTCAGAAGAATAAAAGTCCAGAAACCTAAGTAAAAATTGACAAAAACTGTAAACAAGAAGCTAATAAGAAAAAAAAAAATCTGTAACATATGATATTCAGTTTTCTCGTGTGAAGAGAAGTGATACTAAAACACCATTTCTAACATATCATTTGCAAAGTGTAAAAATCTGGCAATACATTTTGTTGACAGGGCTCATAGAATGAACACAGAGTGGTCTAAACAGTTACACAAAGGAATTTGGTGCTATCTGGAAAAATAATATCTGCATTTATTTGTGGTCCCAGCAGTCCCACTAACCCACCCCAAAGGTACAGCATAATGTGCAGAATTAACATTAAGTTATAAGTCAGTGCTTGTACCAGCAGATATCTGGAAACAACTTTGTGAATAAGGTACCAATTTAATCAACTGATATATATTCTAATGGAGTGCTTACCTTGCAGCTGTTGAAAGAAATAAGGATGATGTAGACATATTCTGCTGGAGCTTGCTCTCTGGAAACATTGTTAAAAAAAAAAAAAAAACAGTAACAAGGTGCAGAATACTGTGGTTAGTATAGCCTCTTCTTTGTAAGAGAAGGAGGTATTTACAAAACAGTTAATTTATATTAAAAGTTACTTTTTAAAGCAGATTTCTGAATAATACCAAAAAAAAACAGTGTTAAAATAATAGTTTTGTGAGTGAATTAATGGGCTTAGCTGAGAATTATTAGTGGCTGTTAAAAATCATTCTATGTTGGGCCTGCCCTTCAGCCCCGGAGCCCAATATGGGGGCCAGTTGAGTTCTGGCTGCTTAACTTCAATTTACTTCCCTACAGATACCCCTGGAAAGACAGCAGTGGATGATGGCTCAGGTCCTCGTGCGCTGCACCCAAGTAGAAGTCCCAGATGAAGATCCTGGCTCCTGGCTTCTGGCTGGCCCTGCTCTGGCCATTGTAACCTTTTCGGGAATGAACCAACAGATGGAAGATCTCTGTCTTTGCTTCCCTCCTGTCTCTGTAAAAATCTACCTTTTAAATAAAAATAAATACATCTTTTAAAAATAAAAAAATAACAAATAGGAAATTACTACACCAGGCCAGAAGATATTTTAATTGAAAGTCAGAAGACCCCAATGAATTAGAGAATATGTATTAAAAATATATTCAAAAATCATGCAGGAAAATGTAAGATGTGTTGAGATCGCAGGCAGGAGAAAGTGTCTGTAATTCTATGTGCATCTAATTCAGTATTCTAAAATATGTGAAAGGGGTTCACTATGTATAACATAAATACTTTTTAAGAAGGGCAACTGCCAATGATAAATTATCAATAATAGTGAAAAACTAAGTTGTATTCTGTTCTTTTTATAATCTATTTTGTGATCATTCATTGTCGCGTCAGTCCTTATCAAGGCAATTCTATCAGCTAGTAATCAACTTCAGATATGAAGGGACACACTCTGATAATGACAACCCACTCAACAGCTCAGAAACAATTAGTGCCATGGACAGATTTCCTAATTGCACCATCTCTGGAGCCAAAGCAATAAAGTCCTTTGTCTCCCTCATCATAAGAGATTTAATTAGAACTTGAGAATGTTAGCCCAGGTGCCTCTGAGGTCCATCGTTCAAATTATGCAAGTTTCTGCAGTAAAAGTAGAATCCAAGATTGCAGTTGTATGTCTCTTTTGGAATTAAGGGGAATGACTGCAAGAGTTGGGAGACAGAATGGTTGGAGAGGGCTCTTCAGAGAGACAGGGCTCTTCCCTCAATGACCATGCACTTGCCCTTGCTGAGAGATCTTGGTCTTGATATCCAGCCACTTTACCTGCTGCTACCTGCTGTGGTTTACCCTGAAACCCCACAGAAAGGTCAGAACAAACAGGAGTCTCTTCCTGCAGCTATAGGAAAGGGTGGAGAGGGAGGACTGGACATGTTGCCTGTGTCTGCCTTTGGACCACCTGACTCACACATGACATCACCCATTCCTACCTCATGAAGATTGATTTCTATATAATCAAAATAATGTATGGAACACTATGAGAGCAATCCTATAGAGGAAACAAAATGAGCTACTTACACCCTAGCCCTCAGAGTCTGGCACACAGAACATGAACATCACAGTCCTCTGATCTGAAACTTTGCTTCTTGATTCTCTCTCAGCTATCTTCCCTAAGTGTCCTGTTTGTCCAGATGATAAGGGAACAATGCCCCTGCATGGTTCCACCCACTTCTGCTGTCACCTTCTGCACTTACTGTGTTTGGCTGAGTCTGGGCGGGAACATGGCAAGGGATGATGGCTCCACTGATACTCTTCTGTGTACGGTATGAAGAGTCTTGGGCTCTACACTTAGGAATGGAGAGCAGACATGCTCAGGCTGTGTCCTCCTGATACAGATGCTCACAAGGGCAGTGGACATTCATATGGGGCCATTCTATGTATACTGCCAAGACACAGCCTAAAGACATTGTCTCATTATTGACACTGGGAGGCCCTGGGAGTTCAATGCCCAGAGCTCCTAATTAGCCAAGATCTCCATGGTTTCCCCAGCCATGGTGTCTGGCTGATGCCAATGGAAAGGAAATAAGAAAAAGAAAATGTACCTGGCTGTTTCTAAAGAGAGCACATTTCTGCTTCCTGTTGCTGCATTGCTACACGCAGGATCTTTACAAAAACCTCAGCTACTGGCTTTCATTTTCACAAACCAAAATGTGAATCTTATGTCCTTGAGTTCATTGAACTAACCCTGAAGATCATGATGAGTTCTCTTCTCTATGCTAAGAATCTGACACTATTTTCATTTTTCTCAGAATTTGTGTCTAAACGCAGCTTCCTATATTCATTGCTTAAATTCGTGCTTGTTTCGGTATTTTTGGTGTTGAAGGCCTATGGTCTGTTAAAACACTTAAATAATTCCTCTCGGTAAATTGTGTTTTCATTAAATATAGTGATATATATTAAAGCAATTGATTGTACAGATTCATGTGAACTCTTACTCTTCGTTGTTCTGGGAGTAGCAGAATGAAACCCAGGGTATACATCAAGAGCTAATAGAAATATAGGATTTACATTTTTTTAAATTTTGAATTTCCTGGTGATTTTGAAGGTGTCTATACATATAACAATACCTTCATTTAGCCTTAGGATTCAGTAAATAATGTGAGCTTTTGAAATAATTCCATTGCAGATACTTGTAAAAGGAGAGTGGAATTCTTACTGGTTGTCCTGGAATTCCCCCCTTGAAGCAACAATTCAGGTATTTGCACTGAAAATTTTTCTTCTGTCATTCTAACAACCCCAAGCTATCATGCTGGTCCTGGACATGAGGAAACTTTGTTTCCTACAGTGCGATTTCCCTCCATTTGTTGAGGAGACAGTACTTTCTCCTTGGATTTTTTTTCAGTTGACTCTGCAAAGCAGAGTTTGCCAATCACTTATCAGCTAATTCCAGGGAACTCTGTTCCATTGATCTGCATGCCTGTTTTTGTGCCAGTTTCTAGCAGTTCTGATTACTGCAATACATCTTGAAATCTGGTACTGTGATGCCTCCAGCTTTTTGTTGTTGTTGTTGTTGTTTAGGATTTCTTTGCTATTCTCTCATGTCTCCATATGAAGTTTGGCATTATTTTTTCTAGATCTGAGAAGCATACAATTTTGATTGAATTCCACTGAATCTGTAGATTGCTTTCAATAGTATGGGTATTTTGATAATATTAATTCTACCAATGCATGAACATGGTAGATTTTGGCATGTCTCCCTCTATCTATTTGATGTTTTGTAACTTTCATGAAATTATAAAGCAGGGAATCAAAAAGGCTGATCACAAAGCTCACCAAAATGAGGAAGCCACAGCGGTGGATGTTTATGATGACCTGGTAATGCAGGGGGTGGCAGATGGCAACAAGTCGATCATAGGCCATCACTGTCAGGAGCAAATCATCCATGCATCCAAAGATTATGGAGAAAGACATTTGAATCAGGCAGCTGGCATAGGAGATGACTGTGATGTGTGTGAGGATGGCAAAAATCAACTTGGGAATCATGGGAGAGGTGAGCACTGCATCAGCCAAGGACAGGTTGCAGAGGAAGAAGTACATGGGTGTGTAGGTGGGAGTCTGAGATGACAGCCAGAATGATGAGCAGGTTCCCAAGCACTGCGACAAGATACACGGCAAGGAATATCCCTAACAGGAGGGGCTGCAGGGCTGGATTCTCAGAGAAGCCCATGAGGTGGAATTCTGAGACATGTGTGAGATTTTGGTTTTTAGTATTACCTGGAAACAGTTTGTAATAGAAAATAGCGTTAGTGTCAGGATAATTAGGCACATGGGAATTATACATTTTCTCAGTTCTGTGTTTCAATAGCTCTTTAGATCATGCTCTCTCAAATTTCAGAGAACCTGGGTTGGATTATATGCTCCACTTCCACTCCTATTCCCAGCATCGTGCTAATGCCCACCCTGGGAGGCACCAAGTGAGGGGTCATAAGCTTCATGTCGCTCACATGAGAGACACAGATTCAGATCCCTCCCACCCCCGCCAACATCAGCTCTTGGCCAAGGCTCAGCACCTGTGTCACCAAGGAGTGACCCAGTTGATGAGAGCTTCTTATCCTGTTTGCCCTCAGCCACTCAAATGAGTAAGACTTAATATTCTCTAGTAATGCCAAGGATAAGGAAAAATGCTGCTTTGTTGTGGATAGACCCTAACTCAGAAGCCATAGGGAGTCTATCAGGGAAAGTCCAACTTCCTCTGCACACAACACTCCACATGCGCACATGATCAGCAAAGAATGCCTGACAACACTGAGCCCAATTACAAAGGAGACACTGGAGAGACGGAGCTCCATACGACCATGGTCTAATAGAATGATGCGCCATGGCATGCTGTAAGACATGTGAGTGTGCTCAGGAGATAATAGAAAGGAGAGTTAAGTGGGAAATAAGAAATAAGTTTACTTTTAATCCATTGAGAGAGAGAGAGAGAATGCTTCCATCCAATGGTTTGTTACCCAATGACTGCAAAGGCTATGCCTTCTCCAGGATGAGAGACCTGGCATGGCATGCAGGATCCCGATGTGCGGGGTAGTAGCATCCTCTGTTGCTTTCCCATATGTGTTAGCAGGGAACCAAATGAGAAGGAGAATAATTGAGACTGAAAGCAGTACTCTGAACACTACTCTGGAATCATCCAGCAGGGCCTTAACCTTTCTTTAACAAAAGATTTACTTAGTTTTATTGGGAAGACAGGTCAGATTTACAAAGAGAAGCAATGTAGAGATAAATCTTCCATACTCTGGTTGATTCCTCAAATGACCACAATGACCAGAGCTGGGCCAATCCAAACCCAGGAGCCAGAGGATTCTTCTGAGTCTCTTCCATGGGTGCAGGGTCTCAAGAATTTGGACCATCCTCTGCTGCTTTCTAAGGCTGTATCCTTAGAGCTGGATTGGAAATGGATCAGCTGGGACACAAACTGGAACACATATGGGACCCTGGGGCTTGCAAGGTAAGATTTAGCCTTCAGGTCATGCTCAGGCTTAACTTTCTGGGTCACAACACAGGCTTTGGATGCCTGAATGTATCTCCACCTGCATTGTTTCAGAAATATATAGAACAACCCTTAAGCCATACATATTACAAAAAATGCACTATGCGGTGAACGAAGTTTATTACTGTAGGAGAAGTACAACATACCATTTTATGACACAGAAAGGAAATCAAGGTGCTTTGATCTTAAGCTCTGAATGAATTTGAGATAGTGGACAATAAACAAAGAGAAGTGTGAAAAACCACGAGAACTGAATACCTCAGAAGAGAAGCAGCAAATATACAGTTGTGGAAATGATATGAAGCAGAAGGAAACAAGAAGGGAAAGGGGGATATTTCACTTGCACTTCTGCAAGCTCTGAGGTTTATAGATCTGATTCGTGTGTATGACATGCACATGATCCTTGGAAGATAAGCCTTACAACTATTTTCACAGCCCTCTGGATATCATTATTTCTGAGACTGTAGACGAAGGGGTTCAGCATGGGGGTGACCAGGGTGTACATTACCGAGACTGCTGCAATTGAGGCTGAACTAGGGGCAGCATTGGCGCTGTGGTACACACCTATACTTGTGCCATAAAATAAGGAAACAACAGAGAGGTGAGAGGCACAGGTGGAAAAGGTTTTATACTTGCCCTGAGCTGACGAGATGGCATGGATGGAGGAGATGATCTTGGAGTAGGAGTACAGGATCCCAGATAGGGGACCTCCTGCCAGCAGCACAGCTTCAAAACCCAACATGAGGTCATTGAGAAAGGTGTCAGAACAGGCTCTGTGGACCACATGATTCAACTCACAGAAAAAGTGAGGGATTTCCACGTGTGTACTGAAGCTCAATTTCAGCACCAACAAGCTGTTTAACAAGGCATGCACGATTCTTATGGTCCAGCACAATAGAACGAGCTGCACACAGAGATAGGAATTCATGATGACTGTGTGGTGCAGGGGGTGACAGATGGTCACAAACCGGTCATAGGCCATCACGGCAAGAAGGAAATTTTCCAGCACTGCAAAGATTATGAAGAACATCTGTGTGATGCAGCCTGCATAGCCAATGGATTCCATCCTGATGTTCCCCAGCATTTTGAGTATGGTGGTGGTACTGAAGGAGATGTCCAGCAAAGATAGGTTGGAGAGGAAGAAGTACATGGGTGTGTGGAGGTGTGAATCTGAGAGGATGGCCAGGAAGATGAACAGGTTTCCACTGACAGTGACCAGGCACATGGAGAGGAATAGCCCAAAGATAACAGGCTGCAATGCTGGGTCCTCTGAGAATCCCAGGAGAAGGAATTCCACAAGCCATGTATGGTTCCTTGGTTCCATTGGTCAGTGTGACTACCAAAGGACAGAAAACAGAACAGAAGTGAGTGCTAATTACCCTGCAGAAACAACGTCATTCGTACTTTTTATATCATTCTGGATCCCTCCAGAATTTCCCAACTCTCAATGTAAGGAAGTCCTCTTCAATATGCATCACTACCTCATGAGGATGTGCACCCTGAAGCTACAAAGAGATTCCTTCATGCACTTGAGAATGAGTGTTGACCATTCAGCAGGATCCAGGCACTGTTTCAACAGTGTGTGAGCAGCCCTGAGAAGCAAATCTCCCTAATAGTGAAGACTTGAACACTAAGTGTAAGCAAAGACAAATCATGCAACACATCACAGGATGCTGATGCATGTATGCTGGTAAGGAAGGCAACAAGCTTTAAAACACATGGGGGATAGATAGGGTTGCACTACTCACATCTCAGGTTCATAAAAGCACAGCAAACAATGTGGCATTTGGACAAAGATCACAATTCCAACAAAAATATAGTAGGTGCACAACATCATCTAGCAATCGATGTGTCAAGCAAGAGACACAGGCAATGCAATGTCCCTGTGGAGGGCTCATTTCAGATGGCCAAAGCCGCCGTGGAGGACGCTAACAGGAATGAGCAACAGCGAAATGCAAAGAGATGAGTCAGACAAGTCTAAGGCAGGCAGTATGCTCACCCCACTAACACTTCAATGTGGAGGAAGTCCTGTCCCATGTCACTACATTTGTCCTCTCTTGAAGTAAAAATGGTACTGCTTTATCTCCACCTGCGCTTGTGCGTTTTGAATACTGTATTAAGTGCAATATTTGAGGACACAGGTGCTCTTGACTTACAATATACCCATCTTAACCTAAAAATATGAAGTCAAAAATACACTGATAAGAGATGAGCTTCTGAACACAGCTTTAGCAGCTTGTATTGGTAGTTGGGGATTGCACAGCCCTGTGGGATCCATGGCTCACTGCCCACTGCCCACAAGTGAGAGAAATCACAACCTTATCAAACAGTTGGTATTCAAAGCACAGTTTGGATTTTTCAGCATGAGAAATTCAGTGATCATGATCTTGAACCAGTGCAAGCTGGAGACTGTGTGATGAGCCTATGTACTCTTTTTCTGTTTCTGTCGTTGCTAACCACCTCCACAGATGTACACACACACTCAAGAATACGCATGTACACACAGGGCATGTAGGAGCATCAGGAAGTTAGTAAAAGTTGGCACTGTCTCTTACTTCTGTTTTTCTACCATCTCCTCCAAGTCCCTGAGACATGTAGTGAATGCCATATTCTTCTTCATGTAGCACTACGCTCTACCTATTCCGTTTAGATCTTTGCAGAGGAGCTCTTAAGCAGCGTCACTGTCACACTAGCTGTCCCTATGAAATGCACACAGCACCCATAACTTCAGATTGTGACTTTCCCACTGGCTACATTTCCATATATCCATTACCTGCTCTGGGCAGGGAGATATTTTTTTTTACGTGCCCAATAAATAGAAATGACTCCAGGAAGGATTTAACAAGATTAAGAGCCTATTGAGAGACCACTGTAATTTGCACTGGTCCTGGAAATACGCCTGCTCCACAACAATAGCTCCTTGATGCCCAGGGGGGGAAAAAAAAAGTTCCAATAGATCACAGTGGTGATATCTTTGCAGTAATGAGAAACATTCTGAATACAATAAGAACAAATAGAGTAAGAAAAAAATGAGTGACGAGAATAAACCAGCAATTCCCCCAAAGTCTGCACACAAACAAACAGCGACATTTGACTTGAACTTGTTGTGTCAACAAGAATTATTTCCCCGTGTCTAGGACATAGTATTGGAGCAGTGGGTTCTATGAGGTCCAACAGCTGCTGAAGGATGGCCTTTATTATCCTTTTCAGGCATGTCATATTTGTTATTCTGTTATTTTTGAGGTTTTGTCTCTTGTCTCATAAATCCTTTGAGCACCCTCTGGTCCTAATTCTGATCTTTGCCTAACACAAACAATCTCTTATGCACAAATTTGTTTCAGAAGTAACTGTTTATTTTACATGAAATAACATTCTCCTTTGGGTATGTCCCTCTAGACAACACGTTTCAGGCATTCCTTTAATTATGTAGTGTCTTCCCTCTGCTGCTACAAGGGCTAAATGAGCAGCCAGCCACTTTACCTGTTTTATTTCTCTTTCAATATGGACAGGGTCCAGTGAATAAGGTGAATAACATAGAAACAGATTTGAGTAAGGAAGTGGCAAGAACAGGATAAAAAATCAAATTATTAAGAGTCTCCAAAAACGATTTGAACAGAAGAAAGTTCTGAACATGGACTGCATGTTAAACATAGCAACAGTTAAACAAAACCATGCATTCATAAATCAGTCAGTGACTATCTGATAACAAAATATGTGACATGGAATATTCTGACTTAAAGCAGATTCAATGTCATAGTTGATCGTCTTCATCAATAATTGTCTTTTAGATAATATGATTATTTATTTAAAATTCCTTACAGGTTTCATTAATTTTAAAGTATTAATATAAAAATATTTTGAGATTGAATAAATTTTCAAATCTTTAATATTCACTTCATATGTAGATATTCTATGATGCAAAATGATCTCTCTGCATCAGGGATATTATTTCACATCAGTTGGGGTCATGACAACAAACATACAATCGGTAGCCTAAGGTTGAGTATTTTAGGCAAATTTGATTTCATGGCAAAATAGTGTTGCAATTTAGATAACAAAGTTTGAATATCTCATAAGGTCTGACATGGTTGTCTCTCTAAGTGGAGAAACAGAGTGCATCTGCCCCTCACATATTGTTATGTCTGTGACAAGCTACGCGTCTCTGACAAGGCTGGCATCCCTTATCAGAGCTGCACTTTGAGTCCCAGCTGCTCTGCTACAGATGCAGCTCTGGGGATGCACCTGGGAAGGCAGCAGGAGCTGACCCCAGTCCATACATCCTTTTCAAGCACATGGGAGATGCAGATGGAGTCTATTTTCAAATCTGACCTCACGTGCAGTCCTCATACAGAGCCAGACCTAAAACTCTCTCTGGACTTACATACCTATGAGACAGACATTCCTACCCCTGTAATGTTGGTTCTGTGCTGGCCCATTACCCTGAAATTGCTTACTGAGGCAGTGATCAATGCAACAGCAACGAGAACATGACAAGGAAACCCCTGCTTCTTATGCTTGGCATTTGATCTCGTGTTTATGGGTAGCACTCACAGCTACGTGGACTTGCATGCCTATTTGTTATACCTGCGTTAATGTAAGTTATCATTGTGATTCTCTTCTGCATATTTGTGAAATATTTGAAGAATTAATTTTTTTTCCTGGAACAACTGCCAAAATGAACCAGCAGTCTCAACTTTCAGTGTGATTATCACACTGGAGTAAGAAAGCCAAGTTGGTGGTATTTTGAGAGTGAGGGAGGGAGGAAGGGCACCATGGGAAGTTTCATTGTTTACTTAAAACTACAAATACAAAGTTTGCTACCTTTGTATATATTTAATATTTTTCACATGTTACTGGTTGCTCATCATTCAAGCCAAATACTCCACAGGGGATGAAGAACTGAAAATTCAACATTTCATTTTGAAAGATTTACACATTGTAGGTCACGTCTCATCCAAAGACCATTTTAAGTCCATTTCACTTATTTTGCAGAATGGGTTATGTGTATGGGCTATACATTAAAAAAAAAAAAAAAAAACTCTCTTGTTTGTGTAAAATAGCAGATTTCTAAAATCTCACCGAAGGGATACTTCCCAGTGTGTTCTTACTCAAGACCCATGTTCGGGCCCGGCGCCGTGGCTCAATGGTTAAGGTCCTCACCTTGAACGCCCAGGATCCCATATGGGCGCCGGTTCTAATCCCGCAGCCCAACTTCCCTTCCAACTCCCTGCCTGTGGCCCGGGAAAGCAGTTGAGGATGGCCCAAGGCTTTGGGACCCTGCACCCGCGTGGGAGACCCGGAAGAGGCTCCTGGCTTCGGATCGGCATAGCATCGGCCATTGCGCTCACTTGGGGAGTGAATCATTGGACGGAAGATCTTCCTCTCTGTGTCTCCTCTCTGTATATCTGCCTTTCCAATAAAAAAATAAATCTTAAAAAAAAAAAAAAAAGACCCATGTTCACCACTGCTCCTTGAAAAAAATGTTTGTTTTTTTTAAATTTTATTGGAAAGGCAGATCATATTTACAGAAAGAAGGGACAGATGTATCTTGCATCTGCTTGTTTATAGTGCAATTGTCCTGAAAGGCTAGAGATGAGCTGATCTGGAATGAGGACAACTGGAGCAGGTAAAATTTAAACCGTTGCCCTTATTAGATACCAGTGATTTCAAATTCATGATTTATCCCTAGAACCATTGCACTGGTCCCCTTCCCATTACATTTGTAACATTCACAGGCTAGGCAGTCTTTCTTCTTTTGAATATATTTTTATTTTGAATGTTGAATGATGTGGTACAATTTTGTATAGGCTGGGATTCCCCTCAAACTCCCACCCCAGTCCGATTTTTCCCATTTTATTACAATAGTGTACTTCTTCATAAGGAATCGCAATTTTATCAGTCTCTCATTTAAGTGCACCCCAATATTGTTTGTAAAGACAATATCAGACAGTCCAGCATCCCATTGTCTACACATGTCCAGCAGTTTTATTGGGATTCCATCTTTCGTCTGGATGTAGGGATTCATGTTCCATTATACCCCCATATCTGTATATGATAGACCCAAGTATTCTATCACTATACATCACCAAATGTGAGAAGACATAAAACAAGGTCAACAACTGATATGAGTTAGAACAGCTACAACAACAACAACAAATGACAGCACCATGAAAAAAGTGCCAATTAGTAACCAACACATGAGTTACAAAACAGGAAACACAGAAGTCTGTGGGGGAATATGATACCATCATATAATTCATGCACCAAAGATGAATTCAACTACAGACAAGAGATTATTTGGAATGGACCAAACTGAAATTAAAA